GACACTTATTTTTCCTTCACAATTTCACAGATTTGTTCTTACACACAATCTTAGCAACCTCAGCTTTTACTTTACATGATAGAATCAACTGTCCAGAGTAATTATGCCAAAGTGACTAGACTGCATGCAGAATGCTAAGGCTGTAATGGGCACTAATGACTGTAACTTACTTTGAGAAAAGCATCTAAAATATAATATTGCTATATAATAATGGATAGGGAAAATGGGTAAATGGAGAGTCAATTCTTGTTATGCATAGTAGTTTTTTTCTATTTTTGATTATTAATTTTTTTTATGTGTATAAGTGTTTTACCTGCATGTATTTAAGTGCAGACATGCATGGTGTGCCTGCAGAGGCCAGATGAGGATGTCCAATTCTGCAGAACTGGAATTACAGTTGTTAGCTGCCATGTAACTACTGGGAACTAAACCCAGATCCTCTGTAAGAGCAGCCAATATTCTTAACCACTAAGCCACCTCTCCAGGCCTCCCTCCCTTTTTGTCTTTTCTTTTTTCTTTTTATGCACAGTAGGTCTATAAAATCTCTGCAAAAATCAAATCAGTGAAGATTCAACAGCTGTTCCTAGAAGAAATATGAATTTAGATTCCCTGGTCACAACATTCTTACCAAGGGATCAATATGTAACCATTTGGGGAGGGGATGAGATAGGGTATCATTTAGCCAAGGCTGCCTTATGTAGCAGAGACTGAGCTTGAACTTTTTTTTTTTAATTTTTGGTCTTTTTGAGACAGGGTCTCCCTGTAGCCCCAGCTGTCCTGGAACTCACTATGTAGACCAGGCCTTGAACTCACAGAGATCTGCCTGCCTCTGCCTCCCGAGTGCTGGGACTACAGGTGTGCCTGGCTAGGCAAAATGACTGAATCTTAAAGTGGTTTTAATGTGCATTTCCCTAATTATTAGTGATGTTGAACATATTTTAAGATGCTTCATAGCCATCTTTACTTCTTCTTTTGAGAACTCTCTGTTCAGCTCCTTAGCCCATCTTTCAATTGGGTTGCTTCTTGTCTTGGTTCTCTGTTTTTTAAGTTCGTTATATATTCTGGATATTAAACCTCTATCAGATGTGTCACTGGTGAAGATTTTCTCCCATTCTGTGGGTTTTTTCTCCACTTCCCTAGTTGCCTCCTTTGATGTACAGAAGCTTTTTGGTTAAATGAGGTCCCATTTGTTAATTGTTGCCCTTGTTTCCTGAGCAATTGATGTCCAGTTTAGAAAATCCATTCCTATACCTATATCTTGTAGTTTTTCCCCCAACGTTTTTCTTCTAACAGTTTCAGAGTTTCAGGCTTTATATTGAGGTCTTTGATCTATTTGGAATTGACTTTTGTGCAAGGTGAAAGATAGGGTTTTAGTTTCATTCTTCTACAGGTGGAGATCCAGTTTTGTCAGCACCATTTGCTGAACATGCTGTCTTTCCTCCAGTGAATGTTCTTGGCCTCTTTATCAAATATCGTATGGCTGAAATTGCATGTACTCATATTTGGGTCTTTAATTTTGTTCCATTGTTCTATGGGTCCATTTTTGTGCCAGTACCATGTCGTTTTTATGACTATAGTTCTGTAACACAGCTTAAAATCTGGTATAGTAATCCCCGCAGTATTGTTCTTAGTGCTCAGGGTTGCTTTGGCTATCTGAGGTCTTTTGTGCTTCCATATGAATCTTAGGATTTATTTTCCAATTCTGTAAAAAATGTCATGGGGCTTTTGATTGGCATTGCATTGAATCTATAAATAGTTTTTGGTAGGATGGTCATTTTCAGAATATTAATTCTTCTAATCCATGGGCATGGGAGGTCCTTCCATCTTCTGATATCTTCCTCAAAATCTTTCTTTAAAGATTTAAAATTTTCATTTTAGAGCTTTTTAATGTCTTTGGTCAGGTTTATTCCAAGATATTTTAATTTTTTTGCAGCTATTGAGAAAGGGAGTGTTTCCATGTGCTCTTTCTCTGATTGGTTATTATTTGTATATAGAAAGGCTACAGACTTTTGTAGATTAATTTTGTAACCTGCCACTTTACTGAATGTGTTTATAATTTCTAGTAGTATTCTGGTGGAATTTTTGGCATCTCTTAAATATAATATCATATCATCTACAAAAAGGGATAATTTGATCTCTTCTTTTCCAATAATTACTCTTTTAATTTCCTGCTCTTGTCTTTTTGCTCTTGCAGGACTTTCAAGCACTATGTTAAAGAGAAGTGGAAATAGTAGACAGGCTTGTCTGGTTCCTGATTTTAATGGGAATGCTTCCAGTTTTTCTCCATTTAGAATGATGTTGGCTGTGGGTTTGTTATATATGGCTTTAATTATGTTGAGGTATGTTCCCTCCAGTCCAATTCTCTCTAGGACTTTGAACATAAATGCATGTTGAATTTTGCCAAAGGCCTTCTCTGCATCTGTTGAGATGACTATGTGGCTCCTGTCTTTGAGCCCATTTATATGATTTATGATGTTTATTGACTTATGTCTATTGAACCATCCCTGCATCTCTGGGTTAAAGCCAACTTGATCGTGGTGGATGGTCTTTTTGATGTGTGTGTGTATGCTGTTTGCAAGTATCTTGTTGAGAATTTTTGCATCTATGTTCATTAAGGATATGGGTCTATAGTTTCGTTTTTTTGGTTGTATCTTTACCTGGCTTTGGTATTAGAGTGATGCTTTTTGAATAAATTAAGTAGTATTGGATGTAGATCTTTAAATGTCTGATA